TGTTTCCATCACGCACCATCACCGTCACATAACCATTCATTAAGCACAAGCGTCACTTACATAATCTCAATTGCATGTGATCGTCTTCTATTCATCAAATACAACCCTAACTTCAGATCCATACAGACGAGACAAGGTTTTGACTTTAAATGTCTATAGGCGACGGATACCATTTTCTATCAGGTGGGCCGTCAGCTTGTTTGGCATTCTTAGTTGTATAAAAAATACACATTTTGGAGGAATAAAAAAAAACATATCCATTTTAACCATAACAGCGTCAGAAAGTTGCTATATGAAATTAATAATAACCTTAAGCTGTCTTACTCCTCTAAGTCTAAACCTATCTAGTGTATTTATTTAACTCTTCATTGCACCAAAAACATGAAAATACACAATGACATATAAACAATTCAAGTGAAATACAGTAGATGTGTATATAAAGGTAAAAAAGGGGACCTGTAGATAGTATTTTGATTCTTGCTTTTTAACCTATTGAGTTTTTGAGTCCTTATAACAAATTCTTAATTAATTTTCACAAATCGCCCATCCGACATAAATACATACTTCGGTGGAGGGTGCGTATGATTAGTATATCGCTCTATTATATTACCGTTGTCGTTCAGTTTCAGATTGGCTTTGCAACCCAATTGTTTCTTTGAACAGTAGAACTTTGAATTCATTTTCGAGTAAGTGTAGTCGTCCAACATAAGTAAATGCTTCCCTCTACGCGTAGGTATCAATTTATATTCTGAAACATAAAGAGAAAATAGACAATAAATATTACTGAAAATAAAATCTGTATCAGGCGTCCAACGGACACGTCTATACAGAGCAACGCGTCCCGAATTACCAAGTGATCTTTTGGGATATGCGCCAAAAGCATAACACCATTAGCGCTATAAAGCTTACAGCACTTTCACGATTAAGACGAATCTAATTACACCAAATTTATTATTCATCATACTGTACATTGCACTTAAAATCCGGATATAACTACTTACACACAAATATTTTACACTCTTTTCTTCAGCAATCTGAAGTACAAAGAATATCTATCTAATCTGGTAAAAAGTAAGTCCTTGATGTCTGCTGGTTTAGGTTTTATTCATTATTCATTTCCATCATCATCATCGTCTTGTTTAAATGAAAATACAAAGGTCATTGAGAAAGGATTTTTCATACTTTCCATGGGAACAGAAAATAGTGATTATCGGAAATGAAGCAACAATGGAACATTAATGTTTAAAATACAATTTATTTCACTTTGATTTTACTACTTCATAACATTTTTAGACTTTGTCATAATCTTGGTAAATTTCAGACATCTCATATCTTTTTTAATAGATCTCATATAATTTTTAAGCCGTGTAGGTCTCGGAATAGGTCACTCCTTCCTTTCCCGTGGGTGTCGTAAGAGGCGACTATTGGCAAACTTCTCCTTATGGAGGGGTTTGCCAATAGTCGCTCCTTTCCCTTCTTCTATTTTTAATTATTTTTTATCGGGTAATCGTGCTTTATTGGAAAACCTCTACCTCATTTGACTGGCCATATCCGTAGCATTTTTGAGCATGAATCTTAATTATATATGACTAGAATATGTAAGAAATAAAACTTGGTTATTCTGATATAATTCACATATTTAGTCACATCATATAATTAAATATACCACCTACGCACAACAATATTGGCATGTTCTATTTATAAGAAACAAATTTAGACACATAAGATGCATGGATAATATTATCTATGACCGGCATATATTATAATGTCTCTTTAAATTTTATTATTATCACAGTATAGATAATAGTACTAAATTATTATTATTAAGCGAGGTAAATATCACTTTCGACAAATAAAACCAAACACAGATCCAAAAATATTTGCACCCTTCACGTCTACTGAGCAATCGAAGCCGTATACAATCTCGGTTACTCCATAAAGGGTAGCAAATATTTTCCTAACAGTCATTTACTAAACAAGCTAAGACTATTAAAACAATTATTTATAACACGGTAAATGTAATAGACAGCAAATGTAGTTAATAAATAAAGAGAACTGAACAAGAGCTAGTCTTTTAAGTAGAGTTAGTCTACAAAAGAACACCGTACAAAATTGTTCGCCAATATCTGTCGAACAAAGAAAAATACTATTAGAACATTAGTATGTATGTTTATACTAAGTATTCTCTCGCTTGATATAACCTTTTGATTAGTTACTTCTTAATAAACTTCATTTTATTTTAATACTTCTGTGCTACTGATGTCACATTCAATTTTAGAATTTTCACTTCAGTTCGATAACTTGAAGTAAGTTCCTCGTGTTGTGAGCATGTATTGCGGCGGCTGATGTGTATGGACATCTTTAATATACAAAATAGCTCCATCATCATTCAATCTCACAGTACTTTTACAGTTCAATGATTTACGCTGAGAACAATAGTAACAATTCTTTGCGTGGTTGTTCTTCGAATACGTGTAACCGTTTACCATCAGTAATTTATTCCCGCGTGCAGTGTCAATAAATTTGTAATGATAGTAATCTGAAATGATAAAATGAATTTATACAAATATTGTTCATTATCATGAAACACAATCACGAGGAATCCTTAAGATGATTAGTGAGCTGTGAAAGAGTTATACTCGTTTAAGGTATGATAGAATCCAAGACAAGAATACCTGTAAAGCAGCAAAGTGACTCATATTGTTTAAATGGCAAAAACTGGAGCAACAACGACTTGGCTATATAACTTAAAGAACTTAAATCCGATGAAAGGTTCTCTAGTGACTACTCAATACATTTGAACGCAGTATGAGGCAACCTTATAACAAATCTTGTGTTAAAATGTCTACCTACATTTATTAATAAAAATCAGACTAACTACTTTAAATATAAATAAAACGTTAAAATTGTTATTATATATCAAATTTGGTAATAAATTATTCTTGTAATGTATATAGAACGCTAATTTATAGTTTAATTAATTTTATATTTATTTATTGTCATGATACTTGAATAAAAAGTAATGAAATTGTACTATGTGCGCCGCTTCACATTACATCTCACCAAATGATCTAAATTCTTGCATTGCGTTTGGATTAGGAATTTCGAGCTCAATTGCAACAATAAAAAAAAAACAGGTTTTTTCCAAAATATAACAACATGGGGTTCTTAAAAAAAATAGGTTTCTTTAGGGCCGGCAACACGCGTGTAATCATCTATCATCAGGTGGGCATATGATTGTTTGCCACCTCAGTGGTATAAAAAAAACAATATGTTTACGCAATATCATATATTTTAATTATTTATTTTATTTATTTACACTTTATTGCACCAAGTAAAAAGAGAAATAACAAATACAGTAAATATTAATGAGAAGTGATACAAAAGGCGGCCTTATCGCTAAGCAATCTCTTCCATACAACCTTTAATAATAAATAGTAATACATAAATATTATCATATACAAACATATATATATATATATATATATATATATATATATATATATATACTTTAGTTTACTTATATGAATATAATAATAAATAATGCATTTGATGCTAGATTATATACTTCCAATCTATAATATTAATTAAATAATTTACAATAAGTTCCTAGAGATGTGATTAAATATTTAGGTGGATCATGTGTGTGAGCATCTTTAATATATACAATGATACCGTCTCTATTTAATTTCACAGCGCTTTTACAATTCAATGATTTACGTTGAGAACAATAATAATAATTATTAGCTTGAGTATTCTTTGAATATGTGTAACCGTTTAACATTAGTAATTTCTTCCCATTTACAGTATCGATAAATTGGTAGTCGTAATAACCTGAAAAAGAAAATAATGATAAAATTTTACTAATTTTACACAATGTTAACAAACAGACTTATCGAGTACAAAATGTAGCATGCGGGGATTGAACACACAAACAGCGGTAAGTAAAGCAGTGTGTTAACACACCATTAATTTCGTTTACATTCTTGTTAATATTATAAATGTGAAAACTTGTTTGTTACTTCTTGGCGCTCCTACTACCAAAATTGCTTTGTGCTTAAGTGAATTAGTAAGTAGTATTGTTTAGTCATAATTATAATAGTAGATAACTTGTTTAAATTTTATGGGATTGACATGTTAAAAAACAAAAATCCCAAATTAAACGTAGATTAAAAAATAAAACTTGTTGGCGCATATCGCTTCATGACACACAACCTACTATCATGAAATTTGACGCACACGTACTATATTCAATGGAGGACATAAGCTACTTTTTATACATTTCAATTAACACAAGCCACGCTGACGAAGTCACAATAACACTTGGTATAACATATATAAAATATATCACTCAGTTGTAGTACTCCAAAAAGAATAGACTCATATTGTACAGATCTCACTTAGATATACTTGTATGTTACGTTTCCTTCAACCCTCATAGTCCAAAATTATGTACATGTATAAATTCAATTTTTTTTTTTTTTGTGAGCTTATTTCACAAAGTATGTGATCATCAATTTTAACTTTGGGAGTCGAGTCATGAGGTTTACATAACTAAGTCATCGATTATGTAAACCTCGTAATAAACCACATAAAAGCTTCAATATTTGCAATTAGTTACATAGACATCAAATGCAAAGAAAGCAACACAACTCAAAAATTGTGATACCTTAATTATATAAATATCTATAGCTAAGCTAAATATCTACTTATTTCTAGATCTTCTCTTTATGCGGTCAAATATTGTTTTTAGTATACGCCTTAAAAACGTGTAAAAAATACTTCGTCTTTGGTAAATTTGCGTAGAGATTATCATGATTTTTATTTCGCGACAATCAATCTTTTATTTACCGATAGTGGCAGTGTAAGCTTTTTTATAATTATGATAATTCTTTTAGCATTAAGGTTTGCTCCAATATGTTGATCTCATGTAAATATCTCATTGTTGAAATAGCCTTTTGTGGAATAATATTATCAGTAATTAAGAGACAAAAATGTAATTAGATATATATATTTATTTATTTTAAAATATACATTATTTATGTACACTGTATATATATATATATATATAGATGAATACGGAATGGAAACTCCGCCTATGGTATATCAGTGAGGGATAGTAGATAAGAATGAAGTTATATTAATTAGCCCATCCTAATGAATTTGCTGGGAATTAACCACGGTGATTACATGGAGGTTGCCGCGTAGTGGTCAACATGAGGCAAATTGCTATACTGGATGACATTAACATCGTTTTAGAGAATTTTCTATCAGTAAAACTGAGATTTTTATTCAAATAAACACAAGTCAAAAACGCTAACTATCAATTAAGTTAGACTTTAAAGTTTGCCGATTTTGACCCATTTTTCTTCAGGAAGAAATGTTCAGTTTCATTGGTAAAACTTCTAATGATCTCAAACAATTTGATTACAACCTGTACATTGCCTGCAGTAGGAATATTGATACATTTAGTTAGACACATTTCTAACAATATACATTCATCACCAAACGTTCCAGTGTTCATTGATATTTACATAATATACTGGATGCATGGACTATTGACTAAATATTAAATACGTTATTAAAATAATCCAAAAGAGGTTGTCATTGTCCATGGGTTTAGATAAAGAATAATTTTAAAACCTAATTATACACTATTCGACATTAAGACTCTTTAGATAGTCATTAAAAAAAATGCTTAATTTTTGAGAATGTTGATTAATACATTGTTACAGGTAGCAATGAATCTGTACATTATATATAGACGTACCTATTTACATAATAAATAAAACAATTATGTTATTTTACATTATTTACATAATAATGTAAAATAACATATAAAAGTACACTATTTTAAAAATCGAGAAAAAGATTTAATAATTACTCGATACAAAGATACATGTTTTATGTTGTTTTCAGTTTAACAAAATTATATATTCCAGTGATATTTAATAAATACAATATCTTCAAATAGAAAATATACTGTGATAATCCAAAATAAAGACATTTGATTTCATATCAATCAATATTTTAACTGAACACCTAGCACGGGGCACAATTTTGGCTATAGTAGAAGTTGTTTATTCTAAGAACAAGGCTTTAACTATAGCATGAAATCAAGCAATTGTTTCATATGTATGAATACTAAATTCAAATTCAAATTCAAAAATCATTTATTCATGTAGGACATTTTAGCCGCTTATGAACGTCAAATTTGTACATTATAATTTTATATTTACCCTACCGTCCAGTTCGGTATATAGATCCAATTGAGAAGAACTGGCAAAAAACTCAATTGAATTACTTTTTTTTTTTTAAAGCCAGTTTATTTACAATGTATATTTATATAGGTGTCTATGTCTAACATTAAATGAAAATTCAGTGCATGAACAACTATTGCCATGCACACTCGTCATTCAAGTAATCGTTTAGTGAGTAATAGGCTTTGCTCAGTAAATATGATTTAACAGATGTTTTGAATTTATTTAAGGGTAATTCCAACATATCCTTTGGTATCTTATTGTAAATTTTTATACCTATTCCCATAAAAGACCTATTAACTTTTTCTAAACGATACTTGGGGACAGCAAGTTTGTCTTTAAATCTAGTATTAATATTATGAATATTGCTGTTTTTTGGAAATAAGTCAAGATTTTTATGAACATATAGTATATTTGAATATATAAATTGAGAAGCAACGGTGAGAATATTTGCCTCTTTGAATTTCTCTCTTAATGAGTCACGACTCTTCATACAGTAGAATCGAACGGCACGTTTTTGTAATATGAATATATTCTTAATATCTGCCGCTTTTCCCCATAGTAATATTCCATAAGAGAGTAAACTATGAAAATAACTAAAATAGACTAATCTAGCAGTATCAGTATCAGTGTACTGTCTAACTTTACGCACGGCAAAAGCTGCTGAACTTAGTTTCGCTGCAAGGCTTTGAATTTGTGCACCCCATTGTGTTTTACTATCTAGTGTGATTCCTAGAAAGACAGTAGATTCTATAAATTCGAGAGATTCGTCATTTAATTTAATATTGCAATTAGTATTAAAACTTTTAGATAGAGAGAAATTAACACATTTTGTTTTTTTAGCGTTTAACATAAGATTGTTAGTTGTAAACCAGTGCAGGAGACGCCGCAAAGCACTATTTACATCGTCATAATTATTAGTCATTCTATTAACTTTAAAAATCAATGAAGTATCGTCTGCAAACAATACTATGCCGCATCTATCCTGCATGGCATATGGGAGATCATTAATGTAAACTAGGAATAAAAATGGACCGAGAATAGATCCTTGAGGTACACCCATTTGCACAAGTGACCCGTCAGACGTAGCGTTGCTAATCTTCACTTTCTGTGATAACTTCACTAGATAGGCATAATGCGCCTACGTTACAAATTGTGAAATATAGCACTAATAGATTGTCTATACCACGTCTTTACAACCACACCGCTCCGAAAGGAAGCAGTAATTCAAATATAAGGTTTTAAAATATTGCAGCGTACTAATTTACGGGTATATTTATTTAAAATCATTAATTATGATATTAAGCGAGTCATCTGTAGATGGTGTTTCTACATATGACAAAATCTCATCAGGATGCTCTTCCTTTATGTGGTTGAATAAAACAGTCCGATCGCTGTCCAGACAAGATACGACCATCGAACATATTTTACATTTATAGTCATTTTCGTCATCAACATCGAAATAAGTTTTCTCGAAATTTTCAGTTTCTGTAATACGAGATATATCATTAAACACAGTGACAAAAGTAAACTAATTCAAATTATAAGCTTGAGAACTCACCAGCTTGTAAAGATTTTTCGCTGGATTTGAACTGGAGTTTTACTGGATTATTATCTTGAGTTTCCTCATATTTTAATATTATAGAATAAGGTTTCTTGTGCCTGAGCGAAATATGACGCCTCAAATTTCCAACACTTTGAGGAAATATAGTTATTATTTTGCCACAGAAAAAACATGCGTAAAGACGATGTTCATCGATAGCTTTGAAGAAATTCCAGATGCACGTTTTATTCTTTCCTAGAAATAAAATGCATATAACGAATAATGAATACTGTGATAACAATGTCACTCGACAAAATAATAATAACGTACGTTTTCCCAATACAGTTTTTTCGCACAATTCCTTTACTTTTTGTTCCAAGTCAGGATTTGATTCTGAAATCAAAGCTAGTTCTATATATTCGTCTAGTGTTTTTGTCTCTGTAGTATTATTTGTATCTGTATTAATTTCTTGTTCAGTTTCGTTTGTATTTTGAATTGTAGGCTCTTCATCTTTCTTAGTTTCCAACTTATTAGATAATGTAAATAAACCAGTGACATTTACGTCAGTATTTACATCAACACTGTCTTCTATGACTGGTTCTGTATGATCATCTTCTTCGCAAATATTTTCTTCAACTATATTTGAAGTTGTAAGATTCTTTTCACTTTTAGTAGGTAGTGCAACTTCATAAATAGTAAATGTAGTAGTATTTTTTTCTTCGTCAAAAATCGGAGGATGTTTGTGTTTAAAATGTCGTTTCATATTGGCTAAACTTCCATTTGACAGACTTAATACACTACCACAAACTAAACATTGATATCTCCTTACATTAATTCTTCTACAATACTTTCTAACCCAACAGAGGGACCTCATTTTATAATTCTTGGAGTTAGATAATGTGTCAAGATTCTTATCACATTGTAAATCAGTATTGTTTGTTTCAGCACTAAAAATGTCTGAATGTTTTGTTTCCATATGAGCTTTTAGATTATTATTTATTTCTGTAGGAACAATTAAAATAAGAGAACAAACATTACACTGATATCTGGAATTTGCTAACTTTTTGAAATATTTTATTAATCCCTCTCCATTAGATGCTGCAAAAAATAAGATTAATACATAACAATGTTAGATTAACATTACGTCATTTTAAAAATAATTATGTAATTTTTTAGGTTAAAACCTTCTGATAGAAAATAATGTATAATCTCTTAATAAAATTAACAATAAATAATATGGGTTGTACTCATATAAATATTCTAGATCAGTTTTCATAAGGAATTAAACAATATCAAATAATTTAATAGCAAAATAACATACCCCGTGTAAGATATGTCTGGCTTTTGTAATTTTCATAGGCAATTGGATGTTTGACCCGTAGATGTCTAGCCATGTTCATGCATATATCTACTCCGCAAAGTAGACAACGCTGACGTCTCTTTGTTATTGATTTAAAGTATTTCCACAATTGACTAATGTTCTTTCCTGTTTAACAAATTAAACTGTCAGATAAATATTCGGTAGTAATTGGTAGTAACTAATTTAAAACACACATATACAGCGAACGCTCTATCTATATAAGCAACCTCTCTATAAGCAACATTCTTTATATTTTATTTGTTTTACTCAGCTTAGTAAGTAAAAGAAATATGTAAAAATATTATCCAGACGATAAGTATTTTTATACTCCTTTTCCCCCTATAAGTAACTTTTGCCAATAAGATTTTTTTTATTACAATTGGTTTAAATGAATTGCTTATATATAGAGCATTCACTGTAATGATTATTAAATAAATATACAATTATAATAATAAATAAAATAATGAAAGAAATAATTAGATACTACATTATCATGAACATATTATAATCGTTTTATTATTATATACTTGAGATATAATATGTAAATGTCAATAAAGGAATAAGATAATAAATCACGGTTTTAAGCATGATACTTTATTATACACTAAATATTTTATATTATTAATACTTATATTAAACACTATAAAATAATTACATTTCAAAACAAATCTTATATTAAATAAATTATAAAACAACGCATTTCACAGCAGAGTTCCTCATTTTCGACAAAATAAGATCATTATCATTGCACTTGTAGAAAATAGTTATACAAAAGCTATACACTACATACTTGCAAACGTATAATAAAAATATGTAAGCAATTTTTAGTTGATTGCATTAATATACACGTTAAATGCTTAAAAATCTCTAAAAATGCTTTCTTTACCATGATAAAGTACCTTACGATTTCTAGATTTATTTGAGCCAATAGAACTTTCACGCAAGATATTATTAATCATTATAATAATAATATACTTATTATTACATAATAAAAATATAAATACGATAATTTACATTAAGTTTTACGAAATTTGATCATACTTATCATTTCAATACCGCTTTGTCTACCTTTATAAAAGGAAAATTTTCGAAACATCTATATAAAAGGAGCTAACTATCGGGTTTCTACCGTGAAGCAGTTGTTTGAATAGCTGTTTCGATTTGAAGAGTGGGATATGGCAGTGAACTTCCAGGGTACAGAGGAATAACACCTGAGCCTTCAGGAATGGTAACGCATGGGTATTATGGGAAAAACAATACTCTGTTATGTCCATGGTACTGCTCATGTCTTGTTCATAGTTACCACTTTCCATCAGGTGGGCCGTTAGCTTTTTTGCCATTCTAAGTTGCATAAAAAAATGTCTTGTGAGATATCTATATGAAATAACAGTAACTCGTTTAGTTAATATTAAGCCTGGTAACGCCTCATTGAATACAAGATACAACACAATAACATACGCAAAAGAGAGGAGAAAGGATTGTTGGTAAAGGATTGGCAACCCCATTGCTGACAATGTTTCCTAGCAGGTCGTTCTCGATGCGATTCCCCCTAGAAAACATCGTAGTTAGTCTTGATGAATTCGAACGATGGATCCACTGAACTGCTATCATCCTTCATTGGTGCCTCGCCAGTATATTGTAAATAGCTCAGGCAAATTTACCAATTATCTTCAAATAAAAGAACGTACAGCAAAATAGCTTTTAATACTTACTCCTGTTACTTTCCACTGACGGAAGCATTAATCTAATTTGTATAAAAAATGTTCTGTGAAATCATTTAAATGAAAGGATTACCATGTGATGCGACACATATGGTTTCATTAAAACACTCACCACAGATGTTTAAAATACTAATGATATAACTTACGATCAATGACATTTTTATGACTTCACACTGCTTTACAGTCATTCCAATTTTATTTATAAATAAAAAAGGCATTTTTTTGTCTAATCACACTATTGTTATTCTGGAGAATGGATTTAAAATTACTTATGTCTCACTAAGCATAATCGGATTTGTTGTGGCAAAGGAAAACCCCGCCTTCGTCTTTAAGAGTAAATTGGGGTGTTAACAATATTAAACAGCACAAGAGTTAACTCCGTCGGTTATAAACAGATTTGGATAATTCTTTTTTTATCTGAAAGGATAATATACTTATAGATTGGTCCCGTAGAAATTTTTCTAACAAAGTCGATTCAATATCTCAGTTTTTACATCGAAATGTCTCGAGCCACAATCGAAGATTTTGTTTTTATAGAACGCAATCTCTAATTGTTTTTAATATCATCACTCTATAAATATATATTTATTAAAATTATAAATTATGTGTATAGTAAGAGAAAGGTCTGTTGTTGAAAAAGTTCATATACTTGTATATGAACGTAAATTTTTTTTCTAAGTATGTGGCTGAGCAATATAATGCGATCGCAGTCTACATAAATTATGATAGTGAAACATAATTTACATTTCTATTACCCTTCTTCGTCAATGTCAAAATAAGTTTTAGTAACAACATCAGTATCTGAAATAGAAGATAAGTTATTAAACATTGGCATGACAATAATAATGTAAATTAAGAAAACCCACCTGAGTTTAAACACATATCTTTAGATTATTTTATAACCTGACCTTTTGCATGAGCTTTCTCACATTTCAATATTATTACGTAGTTTCTTATATGTAGCCGAAATGACATGTCAGGTTTAAAACCTTTTTTAAGATTTTGCTACAAAACAAACATGCGTAAAGACGATGTTCATCTAAAGCTATGAAGAATATTCAAAAATTTTTACATATACATGTATACCGCGAATTTTATGAACTTACTATCTTTGTCGTTTTTACATCTGTTTCCACTTCATCCAGAAGTTATATTCAGGAGGTGTACTGCACTTTGCATCACAGCGTTTCGTCTCGCACGGGGTACGTGTGAAATTCTAGAAAATTCCAAACACGTTTCATTCCCTCTTGGAATTTAAAAAAAAACTAAATAGAAATAGTCTCCTACATAACATGTCTTACCATGCAAAATATTACAACAATAAACTTACGAGTCCATAATACAGGATTTTCACACAATTTCTTTACTTTTTCTCTATATCAGAACTTGTCCCTGAAATTAAGCTATTTTTTTATATTCTTTTACTATTTTTGAATTAGTGACATATTTTTCTATATCGATTTCACAATTATGTAGTTTCAACTGTATTCTACGATGAAGAAACTACTGTTCTATTTAACGTCTTTAATAACTGCTTCATTTATTATTATTTACACCACCACGTTCTTCTATAACTTGTTCAGTATCTTCTTTTTCTTCGCATCTATTTTCATTAGCTGTATTTGAATATTTGACAGAAATTATATCACTTTCAACAAGGAGAGAATTTTTTTTTTTTTGTTAGTCTTCTTAATATTTGTTTCTTGTTTATAATTTGAACAATGCTTTAACTTAAAAAAGCTATTCATATTTCTTATATCTCTTTTAAGTAGTTCAAATAATTGCTACAAACTAGACACAGATATTTTGTTATCATTAATTTTCTACAATATTTTCGCACTCAACTTTGATACTTCATCATCTTTTTGTTTGAAGGTCCAATTATGAAGCACAAAAATCAGTACAGTCTACATTATTATATCACTATTAACATCAACTCTTCTACAACTCGTAAGTTCTTCTTCGCACTTATTTTTATTATTCATATTTAACATATCCAAAGTTTTTTCACTCTTAAAAAGATGAAAAATTTCGTTCATTATGTATAATTTGTCTTTAAGTGTACAAATAGCACTTTTTCTATATTTTCTTTTTTTTAATCTAAAATGTGTATGTTATATTGTCTTTTGTAGAATATTTCCTTATCCAACATCGATACTTCTTGTATACAATCTATAATAAAACATGCAACGTTTCTTGTATGTAAATATGTATTAAAACACAGATTATATATGAGCATATAATATACATGTTATTTATACTTATTCACATGAACAAATGTGTTAGTTACATCTACTTTACAGTAAGTTCCTCGAGATGTAATCACATATTTCGGTGGGTCATGTTTATGGGGTCCTTTCACCACAACAACACTACCGTTTCTATTTAACATCACAGAACTTTTGCAGTTCAATGAGATACGTTGGGAACAGTAGTAGTAATTATGTAAATGGCTACCCTTTGAATATGTGTAACCATTCACCATTAGCAGTGTGTACCCACGTGAAGTTACAATAAACTTGTATTCACGATCAACTGAAATAAAATAAATTACAGAATGAAATCAAATCAAGATCCTTTTAAAGTAATATTATAGCAATGAAAATAAATTTTCGGTGACCTAAAGTCAAGGAATGAAAAAAATCGTTTGGTATAATTTTATAGTATCAAAACAATAGAAGTCATATAGTGTGATACACTATGCAAAGCTTACCGCTTTGCATAATGGAAGTTCGGTTAGGTCAATTTAGAAAAATAACTTTTCTAAATTGGTTTGACTTTGAGTGATCTGGATTGTACCTAGTTTCCCATAACACTGGATATCCCGGCTTGAGGACCAGGTGAATAGTGTGATTGTGTAGCACCATATGTCTTGTTGTTCTTCGACGCACGTTGGTTTAAAAAAAGTCTTGTGCGATGCCGCACTGCTACCCCCGACGTCAGCTAGCACCGGGCGCTGGTACGCCCAGACGTCGACCTATCCCACCCAAAACGGCCCCCTATACACAGTGAGTGTACAAGACAGAGCCCTAAACGGGTCTCTGTCGACGACGCAGACATTGACTGTGACGAAGGACCAGGTGCGATGCGATAACCCGACGACACAGTAACTCGACGATAATGACAAGATGACGACACGATGAAGACATGAAGACGACATGATAACTAGTAATGGAGAAGACCGGTAACGTATCTGAAGGGTGAACGATGACGATGAATGAAACGATGAATTCGAAGGATCTTGCGATAGTGAGGCGAGATACTAGCTTGCTGTGTCCTTCTATTTCGTTCGGTTGCGAGTGCAATTGCGAAATCAGTGGTCAACGGTACGCTGTCGTTTCACACCCTTCTAGAGAGGCAGGGGAAACTCTCCCGGGGCTTTTTGGCCCCCTTCAAGTTGTGTCGTCGCCGCGCCGCGCTACTACCGACTCAGTCATGTGGCTCGCTCTGCGTGGTCTTCGTCTGCCGGGTGAGACCCCGAGGCCTGGCAAACTGCCAGCGTATGAGCGAGTCATATGGCACTATTGCCTATTGTTTATAACTGACCTGCGGACCAGTAGCAAACTAGTGACCTCACCCCTTCTATCAAATTCTTTTATTTTTCAAACATCTATACAAGTGGTAACATAGGACTTAAGGCTACCTATAATGAACATTAGGCATCCTTTCTGCGCGCTGTTTTTCGAACAATTAACGAATGATCGATAAAAAACGCGATTCGCGACTTTTATATGACCCCGCTCTCCTACACCCTCATATGAATATAGCGAGCGGGACGCCGTGGGTCATCATTATGATGTCGGATGCCGCGTATGGCACATTACAATGTTATACTATCTATTTCTAGATTTCTAAAGGATGCCTATGTTTTGTTCTATCTATTGTATCTTTTTAGCACCTATTTTGTGCAAAAAAGATAAAATAGATCCAAGATCCTATTATGACCTATATTTCTATCGTGACCATTTTCTTATTTTCTATAGGAATTATACTATCTAGACACTATTTTATGCCCTAGCCTACATTCTATAACACATATTATACTATTTAGCTATCTATACGGCCCTACCTGCCTATTTTAACTATTTATGGGGTATTAAAAAACCGTAAGAAAAATGCTTTATTTCTCTTACTAATAACTATAGACAATGGTTATTTCTATCATTAATCGATACAATTATATGTTTATTTTCTATTAACAATTATATTTTAACTATAATGAAAAAATAGAAGTTTAAACAGTTTTCTATAAAACTATTCAAAATTACAACTTAGTCGCTCTAAAGTTGGCTAATCGACGAATTACAATCATTCACAAATTAAAGCGAAAATGTCCATCTCTTTCCATTAATTAACACTATAGATCAATGTTTTTTAACACTATCCTATGAACTATTTTGAAAACTATTTAAATATCATTATTTACACTATAAATAAGGTAATCGTCCGGAACAAGTTCTGCGTCTGTTTTAGCATAGCATCATTTGTCAGACTTGAAATTACATTCTGAACCAAGCGAGTGATGTTCTGTGTATATTTACCACCATATTCATATATACATTATATAACAAATTAGTTTCATAACATTTAAATAACAGTTTCACGTTTAAATTTCTACAGTTTATTTCAACAGAACTTAATGAACAGGTAACAAAATTTTGTTGAATTTACCACAGAAACACTCTCTCTCTAAATTAAATCAGTAACAGATAAAAATATTCAATCAATTAATCAATACTTTATTAGTACCACTATTGGACATTAGATGACCGTCTTTTTTTTTTGTACAACTTAGAATAGCAAACAAGCTGACGGCCCACCTGATGGAAAGTGGTAACCGTCGCCTATAGTCGTCTTATTACTGGATCAATTTGTTGATTATTAAAATTTTCATTAAATGCTAATGAAATAAACTAAAGGTACTATTGTACTGCATGCAACAGTTTTACAACACCAAAATGGTGTCTACTCTGCGCGATGATGCAATGAATCTAGTATGATAATTTTATTTCATGGTATAAACGTAACATCAAACTGGAACCGTGAAAGCATTGATGCTGATGGGGGCGTGATTTCAGAGATATTGTAAATTTCAATAAAAGATTTGTTTCATAAAATTAATTTCCCTGTTCAAAATTTATTTCATGGATAATGTAAAAATTGTAAATCATGTTTTGATAACAATACGATATGATATTTTAAAAATTCTTAGCGATAAGGCCGCCTTTTGTATCATTTTTCATTACAATTAATTATTTTATATTATTTTATAATTGGTGTAATAAAGTATAAAATAAATAAATAACATAAATTCGATAAAATTTGCAAGATTATTCATCAATTAAATTTAAAAATATTATTATATACAATAGCATACATGTTATTTACGCTTATTAACACGAACAAATGTGTTAGTTACATCTACTTTACAGTAAGTTCCTCGAGATGTAATCACATATTTCGGTGGGTCATGTTTATGGGGTCCTTTCACTACAACAATACTACCGTTTCCGTTTAACTTCACAGAACTTTTGCAGTTTAATGAAATACGTTGGGAACAGTAGTAGTAATTATGAGCATGGCTGCCCTTCGAATATGTGTAACCGTCCACCATAAGCAGTGTGTTTCCACGTGAAGTTACAATGAACTTGTACTCACGATCAACTGAAATAAAATAAATTACAGAATGAATACAAATACAGTGAAAATTAATTCCTTATCACTACAATTGGTACTTTTAAAGGAGTGTTCTACTAGTAACTACCAATTTAACAACGTCTATGACACAGTGGTAGGTGCACCACTTTGTGTAATGAGGCCCCCATTCGATTCTCCGTGGGGGAAATTTAAGAAATGAACTACTAAACTCGGCTCTGAGTGTTCTAGGTTGTGCCTGATTTTCTACAACACAAGGAATCTTAGCTAGAGGATCACGCAATTCGTGTGATTATGTGCCACTTTATGTCTTATCGTTCTTAGAGCCATATTTTAAAAGAAAAATAAAAATTTCATTAGTAAAACACTTTTTAAAAGAATCCAAATGTATTCACTCATCTCACTGTATCTCACTGTTTTACAAATCTGCTTCGTCTAGCAATACAACTCCTCATGTCAACTTTCACAAATTGTGATGATGTCTTTCCGTTATCACCCACGAGGGTAATAGGGAATACTCATTATGTATTTTATATAATTAACATGCGTACCTCCTTATACAGTACATACAGACTCTGTGGTTCCATTCCATAACCGTTCTAACCTTAGTCCAAAGTACTCATTCCTACCAGTCATCCAACGAACACACCGAGAAAAAGAATTGGATCTCGAATCATCATGTAATCGTTCGAGACATACCAAAAGCGTCGAAACACTGGTTATTTCTTACACTGTGTCCCAACGAGACATTGATTGCACTGATGTGTGTGTTCCCAAAAGCAGGAGTATTAGGCTAATATCTTCCTAAAAAAACCCATAAGAGATCATTAGCCTAATATTACAACGCTGACCAGGATAAAATTAATAAAGGCTCTTACAATTAAATAATGGTAATTTATTAAATATATTCGTATACTTTTCATATATTATAGTAAAGAAATATGATATCTAATAAATTTTAAACAAAAATTAATAATAACATCAATAAATTATAAACAAACTTTAAAAAGAATATATACACTAATAATTGTTTCGTAAACAAAGGAAGCAGGTTAGTTTACACTAATAATACATTATAACTAAATTTTAATGTACAGATTAATTTCTAAAATTTAACAAAATGAAATATAATTTATAAAAAAAAAACACTATATTTAAGCATATAAATAAGAAAATATTTAACACATAAAAATCATATGTGAAGTTTACTTGCAGCATTTATAGAATACTGCAAAAGGCGAAAAAGATTTGAAATATTGTGTATAGGTTCTATTTAACATATTTCTTTTTTCAATAAATGTACATATTACATACAATTTGCAGCTAACCAAAATACCACAGATATTATTTAATTGTAAAGTTTGTCTCAGCTTACAATATTATAAATACTTTTTATGGCACACATAACAACTTACCCCATACTTAATAATAAAATAACAATAATTGTATTTAACAAACAAATAAAATTCTGAGTACAATAAAGAATAAATAGACATTTAAAATATGCCAAAATATCATAAATTGGTAACATCGTTTGCTTTGAAATATCACCTAATATAAAAAAATATAATATTCACAATAAGTTATTTTAGCAACAGTCGATAAATACATCTAACTACACTTATAGGAACTATAGTCATATCATAGACATGTTAAAATTGTTTTATTATAAAAAACCTTATAAAGCTTTAACACTTAATCAAAATCATTAATTTCTCACTAAAAATTGCTGTTTTATTTATTTATTATACTATTTACGAACTAAGGTAGCTTGACATTTTCCCAATTCGCTCGCTTAAGAAGCAACTCCGCTTTTACACCGTTCTAGTGGTATTCGCTATTATAGTAGGCTATTACTTATCTTTGAATTCGTATTATGCAGCACCTTATTGTAATTTAAATTTAACAACAATTTCATAGACACTATCTAGTCTATGAATGTTTATTATTATCAGATACCTTGTAAAAAAGAGTTTTTTTTAATGTTGATAATGAAATGGTAAATCCGCCAGCGCTATCGATATACGCTGATGAGACAACCGTGAGGGATGATAGGTGACGATGAAAGCAGATCAGCTAGCCCATCGTGAAGAATTCCACTAGAAATAACGATGATGATCTTCAGGGGAAACGCGTGGAGGTCGACCTGACAGGGTGTATTGCTAGCAAAGGGTCAGCTAGACTGCATTATAAAGAAACATACGAAAAATCTTCCTCTTTATAATATTAATATATAATAAATTTAAATCTTCAGGCCTGATGTCTCGTAGTCGGTCGCGTGTATAAATAATAAAAATATTTTATTAAAGATGGTGGGAAAAAGTACAAGTATTTCAAATAATATGATATAGTCGATATAATTGAAATTACATGAAGAAGTCGCAACACAAACAGTAAATTGTTAAAATATTCTCTCTTTTCAATAGCATTCTTTCGTTAGTGATTCCAAAAGCGTTTTTTTAGCGATCTCTGATTCACTTTTATAAACATCTGGATGTTTGCTTTTAATGTGACGCTTCATGTTGCTAAACAAGCCGTCGGGCATTCGCAAAACAACACCACAGATAACACAAGCGAACATCATGTCGCCAGCGCGTCTGCAATACTTTTTTGTCCAACACCTCCTTTCTGACTGTTTGTTTTGCTCTTTTATTACACCTAGAAGCAAAAGAAAGTTTTATTAAATAGAGTGTAGGGAGAAGTATATAGAGAGACCCATTTAACCCAGGTCAGTTTCAAATGAGAAATATCGATTACAGAATTAAGTAATCAAGCCCAAAATAATGTTTCACAAACATAAAGCATGCTGCGGTTGCCTCTAAACGTAAGAACAGTTAACCCACATACACTAGTGAATTGTATGAAATGCTTCACTGTATTTATGTTGGTGATCCTACAAATAAATAAAAAGAACTATATGTGACAGCAAAATTAATTTGCCTATCTTGAAAAATTAGACGATTACTATTTTCCATCGAGTGGAGCTTTTGAATTTAAAGCAACCCAAACATTATGTAATAATTATACTATCACTAATAGTTTTCATAGAGACCTATCAACACAAAAACACATACCCGCAAAAGTGGTTGCTTTTCTAGTTGCTTCCATTTCATCAAAGGAACTCGGATGTTTTATCCTTAAATGTCTAATCATGTTTTTCTTCATAACCGTTCCGCATAATTTGCAACGCACCGACTTATATCGTAATTCCTCAAAGTAATTCCAAACAGGACTTCTCTTTCCTATCAAATGAAAAGAATAATTTACTTGGAAGTAACAGAATTAATCTTTGAAATTGTATTTAGAATTTTATTCACACTGTTACTTTGTTAATTTCATCAATGCACTTCACAGGAAAGTATTTCTGCATAAACATTGTTTTACCATTCTCGACTAGATCTCTGATATCGTTAGTGTCATAATCATTTATTACCAGATGAACCGCATGCAAGCTTACCGTCCTTTCACGTAAAGAAAAAATTCAAAAATTAACAACTCTAATTTATTATATAAGCACATTGTTCTTTTAATATTGTATTTTTAAACATATTGAGAACAACAATATTGTACATGTTACACACACTACAATTTAATTCGCACAATTGGAGTTAATTGGTTTCAGTTAGGTGTCAATTAAACAATTCATAATCGCAAAAGTAACAATTACAACCTGTTTCCATGTGAACTGATAAACAGTGAATCTATTTGCCAATTCCATAGAAGATATAAGAGTAGAACACAATTCTTTATTTCTTGCTGACTTTAATGTACTGCCCCGATGGAGACACAATATAAACTGGTGGATTATGTATATGGTTTATGTTTGCAAAAACAATATTTCCATCCTTTCCCAACTTGACACGTGATCTGCAACCTCGGTCTTTTTTCGAGCAATAGAAATTTGACGAATTCAAGTGTTGAGAAAAAGTGTATCCATTCAACATCAGCAATTTCTTCCCTTTAGGTGTTGGGATAAATTGAATGCAATCTGAAAATAAATGCTTCACATTTAAGCTTTAAGATTTCATTTTTAAAAATACTTTTATCAGAGTATTCACCCCAATTGGAGATACGCCACGTTTCAATTAAAAAAAAGCATTAAAGTCTGCTTATCATTTTGTTTGTTAAAAACAGTATAAAGCAAGACTTTCTAAGGTTTTATTACGCTATTTATTTGAATCGTTCAGAAATATTTAAAATTATTTCGCTTTTAAAATTTAACGTTTCAGACATCGTTAGGTATAAACCACAATATAAAGGGGTACTTAACTAAACCTTTTTGTGTTGGTATAAAATAAATATTAATGGTCTGCAATAATATTTTATTATTATCAAATTATTGTAATCATTATTAAACAACAAATTGTTGTATTGTTGATATTAGCCTGTGTTGTATAAATGGCACATCAAAAATGTTTTGTGTTGCTTTAATTACTTACAAAATTTACTTATTAGGATACACACAAATACAAAGTTGGTACGTTATATATTTACATGTATAATAAAGTAGTAATGAAATATAAATCGTACTGTGAGGTTTTATATTTAATTTAGAATTGTTACTAAAAATTATACAAAAAATATTTATAGCAGTAAATTAATATTTATTATAAAAAAAATCAATACAAAATTCTATAGAATGAAATCGAAATCAGGATCTTTGTAAGGGAGTATTCTTCCATTAAAACTGAACAATTTCAGCAAAGTAACGTGGGTCAAAAAACGAGAAATTTTTTTTTTTGTTCTAATATACTCTACAGCATTGGTAGATTTCTAGACTTTTGTACCGGTAATAATTTCGATTCCACCCTGTATAAAACATTTTATATTTTTAAATAATCCCCTGATGCCGTCACGATATACTTTGGAGGATCATGTGTATGATTCTGATCGGCCATCACTACTGCATTGTCATTTCCTAACTTGACAACCGCTCGGCAGCCTATACTCCTCTTAGAGCAGTAATAAAGGTTCGGCCTTTTCAACGAATATGTATAGCCTCTTAACATTAACAGGGAGCCTTTTCGCGTCGGTATAAACACTATTTTGCCTGTAATAATTCTCATGTTATATTTTTATAATTTTTTTTACTTATTATCAAAATTGTTGCAGTACTGATATTGGGAACTAATAAAACCTGTTCTAAATATAATTTGAAACATATTTATTTATTTATTCATTAGTACTGTATGTTTACAATATATAACTTAATACTAAAAGCATTCTCTTCAAGCAGTCAACTTTAAGGAAATGTCAGAATACTAGAAGCAAACCTCTATATCTGGTTTTCGTTCTATCGATTTTATAGTCATAGTTATCGCTATAACTGTGTCTCAGATTAGATATAGTATCTAACTTCGGCTATTTTGGATTTAAAATTATTACTTACTTATTCTATCCGCAAATTCTGCACTTAAATAAGTTTGAGCCTCAATGACCTTCAGTTTTAGTTTTGCTGCACTAACATACAAATGTTTATTTGAAAAATGCCGAAACGAAGACTCAAAACATTATAAGTACGTGAAGAACTGAAATTAATAGCCGTTTATGAATGTGGAAAGACACGCGATGAAGTCTGTGTCGAATTTAATGTGCCAAAATCTACACTTTGTAAAATAATTCAGAATAAAAATAAAAATTCAATCACATTGATCTGAAGTACAGGGGAATTAAAATGTGTACGTTTATCAGAGTATCGTGAAATCTCTATCTAAAAATCTATTACTAGAACCTTCAGTAAATGAGACAGATATTTATTTATACCTGGATATCTGAGAAACTGGTTAAGTAGAATATCTCTATAAATGAGACAAATTTACAGGTCCCTTAATGTCTCACTTAACCACATCGGCACATACCGATGAGCTCCGGAACAGACTTGTGTCTGAAATCGAAACTTCACTCGATAAAGATTCGATTTTGGGTTAACGCAGTATTGTTCACTTTAACCCTAAGAAGACACAAGTCTGCGCTTTCACCGCAAAAAAGACACCGTTTGTCGTATCTCCTCACTTTCAGAGCACTTCCCTCGATAATAAGTCGAGTCTGGGGATTCTTGGCGTCGATATATCTAGCGACGTCAGTTTTGTCATTTGGAAGGAAAATAAGATAGCTTCCAAAAGACTCAATAAGACGGTATTTCACGCCAGAAAACCGCCTGAAACTATATAAAGCTCAAGTGAGGCCACACATGGAATACTGTTCTCACCTGTGGGCAGGAGCGCCACAGTACCAACTCGTTCCGTTAGACCGCATTCAAAGTCGGGCAGCTCGAATTGTTGACGATCGGCGTCTTACTGTCCGGCTCGACCCACTGAAACTGCGTAGAGATGTTTCATCTCTGTGCATCTTCTACCGAATTTATCACGGGGAGTGCTCTGAAGAATTGTTCAGATTGATACCTGCTGCAGATTTTCACCATCATACAACCCGCCATAAACTAAAATTTCATCCCAACCATCTGGACGAGTGGCGGTCCTCCACCGTGCGTTTTTCAAGACTTTCTCCCACGCACAACCACTCTTTGGAATCAACTTCCAGCAGCAGTATTTCCGAACCGATACGACAACATAACCTTCAAGAAAAGAGCATATTCCTTTTTAAAAGGCCGGCAGCACACCTGCAATGCCGTAGGTGTTGTGGGTGACCATGGGCGGCGGTAGTCACTTACCATCAGGTGAGCCGCATGCTCGTTTGCCCCCTGTGTTGTAAAAAAAAAACCAGGTTTAACTGTATTTATGTTCTTAACAAAAAAATTTATCTTTGGCCTGAAATTTACCGCCATTAAAATCTAGCGCCCTAGACTACAACTACTAGACTACTAGGGCGGTAAATTCGCAATCCTAAACAGCTTACTGGTAAATTCGCTATTTATACTATTTTCTTCTTGATTATCTTCTTGAATTTGTGATCATATTTGTATAATTTGGCGGATAATGGGAGTGTATGCCTTCAACCTTGACTATTCTACCATCTAATCCCAACTTGATGTGCGCTTTACACCCATAGTTCTTCTTGGAACAATAAAAATGTAGTGTGTTATTCATCTGAGAATATGAGTAGTTATCAAATACTAATAAATTCTTGCCTCTTGATGTCGGAATTAATTCATATTCACCAAAGACTAGAACAAAAGAACACAAGTACAGTTTTCTATTTTGTTTAGGAATGTTGTGGTCTCTAATTTTAGAGAAAACAAAAGAAGAATTCACGAGACCCTCTGCCGATCGAAGTAAGTGTGGATATAATTATTTCATACTTCGTCGGTCTCATGGATTCACAAATATCGACGACATTATTGCCTTGTACAACGCATTAATCAGAAGTAACCTAGAGTGCAATTCAGTCGTCTGGGCTCCACATGGCTAAGTATAATCTCATGTTGAAGCGCATTCAGAATAATTTTATCAGGTACATATTTAAGGAAATATGGGGTATATCATTTTTATCTACTGATGTATCCTAATTTATTTGTGTTAGGTATGATAAGGTGCAATGAGTTGCGAGTATGGAGGGAAATGTGCCTAGTGTCATATTTATTTAAATTAATAAGGGGTAAAATCAACAACAACCAGGTGTTGAGTTGTGTAAATTTCTGTGTCCCTAAAGGATATGTGTGACGTCGCCGCTGGCCACGGCTGCTGACTGTGTCGGGCAGCAGCACTAACCAGCAGGTTAGTGCTGCTGCCCGACACAGTGAGCGACGCCTTATCTAGCAAGATAAGGCGTCGCTCACAAAAACTCTGCGTACGCCGAACCAACCAACAGATACAATTGATGTATTTAATTGCTCTCTGAATAAATTTACTAAGATAACTCTTTATCTAATTAGCTACAAAAATTAATACATAAATATGGATGTGTGTATATGCATATATATTATAACGATCCGAAAGTGATGTCATATACTTCGAAGGTACTAATTGAATACCTTTTTCACAAAAACGTGCAAATGTATTAATAAAATATTAAATATTTGCTATTTATTATACACATTGCACTTTTAGACTTCCTCTAGTTGGTAGGATCATAGTGTAATTTTGAACAAGATGTAGAAAAATTTAGTTATTTTTTATCGCTTTGAAAATTGTATTAATCTTTTAATTGGTGAGTATTTTAAATTTATATTAAAAAAAAATTGATCGTTTGTAATGGATTGTTTGAAATGAAACTCAAAAACTAGTCACTGCTCTATTATTTATTAATATTTACTATAATCAATCTTATATTTTCAGACTTGTACATCCTCACAAACAATTGGACATTTGAACACTCCGTACAAAAAACATAAACCAACAATATATAATATTGTTGCTTTATATATAACAAAAATATTTGTTTATCGTATTTTGGGTAGTTATTTTAGACTCGACACTCCATCTAGATGCATATTAATTATTAGTTTCTATATAAAAAAAAATTATTATGCTTTTAAAAATTCTTTATTTTAAATTTAGAAACAATTATAATTTAACATAGTGTCCCGAAGGCGATATTACATACTTCGGGGGAGGGTGTAGGTGATCGTAACATGCTCGTACTATATTTCCTTCGCATCCTAATATGACGCGAGCCTTGCATCCGGAGTCCTTCTTGGAACAATAGTAATATTTCGTCAAGTTCTTTTGAGAATATGTGTAGCCATTTATCATAAGAAGATGTTTTTTCCCTCTATTTGTTGGTATCATAGTATAATTTTGAACATGATCTAGAAGAATAGATTTCATTATTTTTCTAATTACCCTCTAAAAATGAATTAAACTTAAAATTTGTGACTTTTATTTTACAAATCTTAAATTTATTTATGTTTATTCACTATATTATCAATATTACATTTACAGATTTTCTTGCACCCTCACATGAGGATTGACATTTAAATACACTTAAAATGCCTCGTCAGCCTACAATTAGCTGATCTCTTTTTGCGAAGTTATTTTACATTCCACGCTCTATCTAGATTCTATATATTTTTATATATTTAAAATGAAATTCTTTTTATAACAAGATAAATCACCGCCTAAAATTATTTTTAATAATAATAAGAGAAATAATTACAATTACAAGTCCGTCGAATGTGCTCGGTTCCTGGCAAAAACCAATAAATGTAATTCAATATTTCGGGAACGTTTTCTGCCTTGATTAGCATAGGAGTCTTATTTTTGTTGATTTTGCCGAAGTCAATCCAACGCTCTTTGGCGGCTCAATTCGCGTAGAGCCTCTCTGTTAGGACTGGAGCTCTCAAACGCATCACGCATCAAGCTGCGGATAAAGGGCGTCGCTGCATCAATGTCTATCAACAGATTAAAAGCAGAATATTGGGTGACCCGGTGTTGATGGTAATGTTAAGCACCAATTGAAGTTTTAACAGCAGGCCACTGGCGCTTCCGATAGTTACATTCAATGCGCACCATATTTAATACAGCCCCACAGTAATGTTCAATTTGTCCATTCGATTAGTTCATCTTGAGTGTGATTTCTCACAAGCCATATCACGAACCCAGTTCGGTTTCAATTTATAAAAGTGGTATTTACTTTCTGCACCTTATGTCAGTTTACTAATTTCAGCAACGACTCGCTTGAAACCACCGTCTTGTAGCCATTGATCCCCGCTCTGTTTTTTCACCTTTACATTATATATAAAAAAATATATTATATGTAACCTTCAAGAAAAGAGCATATTCCTTTTTAAAAGGCAAGCAGTACACCTTCAATGCCGTTGGTGTTGTGGGTGATCATGGGCAACGGTAGTCACTTACCATCAGTTGAGCCGCATGCTCGTTTATCCCCTGTGTTGTAAAAAGTCTTTAAAAATTAAATTCACACATCATTTAATTTAAAATTTGAAAACAATTATAATTTAAGATAGCGTCCTGATGATAGTGTCATGTACTTCGGAGGAGGGTGTAGGTGATCGTAACATGCTCGCAGTATCTTCCCGTCGCATCCCAATGTGACGCGAGCCTTGCATCCCGAGTTCTTCTTTGAACAGTAATAATTATTCGTCAGATTCTTTTGAGAATACGTGTATCCATTTATCATAAGCAGATGTTTTTTCCCTCTAGTTGTTTGTATCAGAGAATAATTTTGTGCATAATCTAGAAGAATATTAAAATTGCATTAATATTTTTTTAAAGGCGCGCTACTTTTAAAGAAATTATTAATTCAAGAATATAAAGTTCTTGCAGTAATTTAAAATTACAAAAAAAAAAATTAAGAAAAATTACCTGATTACCAGCGATCAACAAAAAACTAAATAGCTTTTTTATTACTAAAACCATTATTATGCCAAGACTTATTAAAAAATACTGCAAAAATTACGTAGCATGGGACAAGAACAGAAAACAAACCAGAGAATTTGACATAAAAACATTTAATATAAAAGAAATTTAAAATTGAAATCAGCGATTCTCAAACTTTCTTATCTGTAATAAAACATTTTTACAGAGTTTTAAAATAAAGCTCGCCATGCCATAATTCAAGGAGTACTGACACCAACACTCATGTATGGAAGCGAATCGTGAGTATGGCAGAAGAAGCATTAAAGTAAGATAAATGCTATAGAGATGAGAGCTTTGAAAAGTATGTATGGTATTACATTAAAAGATAGTGTAAGAAACAGTGTGATTAGAGAGAAGTGTGGACTGAAAGACGTTGTAGTGACAAAAATCGAAAAAGAAATGTTGCGTTGGTTTGGTTATTTGGAGAGGATGGATGAAAGAAGAATTACGAAAGAGATTTATCGAGCAACAATGAATGGAGATGTCAGTAGGGGCCGCCCTAGACGGACGTATGTTGACCAAATAGGCGACGTACTGAAGAAGGGCCAAATTAAAAGTACCCGTAACCGGCGAGCGTGTATGAAAAGATTGATGAATGTGGAAGAAGCGAAAGAGGTTTGTTTGAATCGAAGCATTTGGCGTTCCATTGTTTCTGCCTACCCTAATGGGAAACAGGCGTGACAGATATGTATGTATGAATGTATGTAAAATAAGAAAAATCTAGCTTTATCAAAAACCTACTACTATTTTTACAGAAAAAGTGTAGATAAATGATTGGATATTTTTCCTACTCTTCACGCAAAAACTACTTGACGGATTTAAATGAAATTTGGTACATGAATAGCTTATATCCTAATTTGAAACAGAGCATATTTTATATTATGATTCACGCGGATATTCCGCGATTCCGTGAGATATGCTTCCACTTCTCAACATTGTACTGACCCACCCGTGAGAGATGACAATTGAGGATGAAAGCAGGTCAGTTGACCCATCGAGACGAATTCAACAAGAAATGACCACGATGATTTTCACAGGGAACTGCGTGGATGTTGACGTAATAGAGAATATTGTGAGGAAAGGGATTGTTAGTAAGGGGATATGACTGACCCATTGCTAGCAATATACCCTATTAAGTCGACCTCCACGCGGTTCTCCCTGAAAACTATCGTAGTTAATTCTAGTGGAATTTGTCACGATGGGCTAACTGACTTGCTTTCATCGTCACTTATAATCTTTCACTGGTGACCTGCCAGCGTTTACCGATATCGCAGGTGGGGTTTACCATTCCATTATTACTCATTAAAATAAAATAAAATACATAACTAGCAATGGGGCTATTAAACCTCATTATTAACAATTTTTTTCCACCAGACAAAATATGATATGCTTTGCTCTCTGGGTCTCATTACAGCAGATCCTTCGCAAAAACCTTACAGAGCCCAGCAAAGCACACTTTAAAGATCACTGACATATACAGTAAAATTCTTTAGCTAATTAAAAAACCGACGAGGTGGCTCGTGGCAGTGATTACAGTATGCCTTTACAATCACACCCTCAATGATCTTCACGCAGGCCTTGCATCCACGCCATCGTTTGGAACAGTAATAATTTGAGCTTTTGTTGTCTTTTGAATATGTATAACCCATATACAATAACAGGTGACCTTTGCGAGTCGGCAGAAACTGATAAACTGAAAGAAAAATAACCATCAATCAACATCATATAAACATCTGTATACGTGTTAGACTTCAAAAGTGATAATGATGATGATGTAACCCATCATGCGTGGTCATTCTTAACAAATGTATTAACAATAATCTATATAGAAGGTTACAAAATGAAATATCGAACACGTAGTGACAAAACTATTTTAATACGTTCATCATATATTAGAGACAACAATAGATGGCTCTGTTTAGATAAATTGTCATAGAAATTCTGGAAACGAGAATAATGAACTGATCCAATGTTAATCAGCACTTCCTTCACTTTTTACAAACATTCCATACCATCCGATAGCAAAAAGTGATGAAACAAGTATCTGTATGTTAGTACGCAAAAAAGTTACTTTAATCGTGAACACACAACATACACACACGCAAAAACACACACCAATAAATAACGAAACGTTTTTTATGGATGATAATGGAATAGTAACCCCATCTGCGCTATCGGTATACACTGGCGGGGCACCAGTAAGGGGTGATAGGTGAGGATGAAACAGGTCAATTTGCCCATCGTGATGAATTTATCAAAAATTAACCACGATGGTTTCCACAGGGGGAACCACGTGGAGGTCGACCTGTTAGGATATATTGCTTGCAATGGGTGCCTATAGTCCGCATTACTAACAATCCTTTTCCCCCCAATGACGAGATGTTTAAATGTTGTAAATATTTAAGTTTAAGATGAGGAATCATATGTTTACTAATAGATTTTGCATCGCAACAAACGATTTTAATGTTCCGCGAAGAAAAACAACAGGTTCAATGGACAAAACATTAACTTGAGATTAAGACGCGAGTAGACTCCATTGATTGCGAATAAAATTGTTCAATATGGTTCAGATTTGGCGATGTAATAAGCAGACAAAACAACCAGATGAATTGAGGATCTCCTTTGTTTCAAAGTCGCTTAAAAAACTAAACTGACGTACATTCTTTGAAGAGAACGGAAAAGATATTGTTCATTCATTCATTCAACTGGCCATATGTTAATCATAACTTAAATCACATTTATACATCAAGAAGCATTACAAACCAGTTACTTTACTTTTACATATTTTCCTGAAGAGGTTACTACATAATTCGGCGGGTCATGGGAATGTTTATCGTCATACACTACGATTTTTCCGTCTTCCAATAATTTGATTCGTGCCCTGCATCCCATTAACTTCTTCGAACAATAATAGTTCCGACTCTTACTGTCTTTGGAGTAAGTAAATTTGTTAAGCATTATGAGATTATTTCCTTTCAGTGTCGGTATAAAGTGATATGGTAATACTGAAAAAAAAAACTAAATTTATTAATTTACATTTAATTTAGAGTATATTTTATTTTATTGAAGTTAACAAACAGTAATATCATGATAATAATTTTACATCTAAATATAACCAGAGGGAAACTTTATACGAAAGTCGTTTAGTTAGGCACCTCTGTCCCATTCGTGCTCTACCGTGAAGCAGTTGTGTTTGCACGACTGTATTTCGGTTTGAAGGGTGGGACATCGCAGTGAATTTACAGAGTACAGAGGAATTGAGTCCTCAGGAATGGCAACGCATGGGGGTATCACGGGTGAAAGAGTATACTCTGTTATGTCTATGGTACTGCTCATGTTCATAGGCGACGGTTACCATTTTACATCAGGTGGGACGTCAACTTGTTTGCCATTCTAATTTGTATAATAAAATTATTAATTGTACCACCAACAACGTTAACTATAGATTACTATATAAAATATAAAAAGTATAAAATAAATAGTAATGATTACACTGATTATTTTTACCCTTGATGACAAATCTAAATGATGCACCTAATGTAGCAGTTACTATTAAATTGAAAACTAGCTGACATAGTAACGTTGTTTCTTTTTTGTTAGTTATATGATTATAAAATACATACAATGATGTTGAATCTGGGTAAAACGTAATAAGAACAGCCGAATTCTTCGATTTTCTCAATTTAATGGTAAAGTTTTTATATAATCATAAGTATTATTTATTACAAACTAAAAGACAAGCGTTCCACTACTGGCCACAGCTAAGAGGATAATATTAGCTTACTGTACTTATGCTAACGGATTAATAAGTTCCATTCTCTTCCACTGGTGGATTACACTGTATCCCCTTAGTCACCTTCATCCTTGAGATTAAAGACAATATTTCACATATTGTATTCTTACGGCATCACTTCATTACATAATTTCATTAAATATAATGAGTTATTTATACTTTACTATATAATGTTTAATTTAATATTTAATGATAAACCATAGAACATTAAAATGAAAAACAACTTTATAAAAAAGCATTTTATTAGAACGTGGCAACGTTTATGGATACATTTTCTTTTTTATTTCAGAAAAATAAAATACATTTTCCAAAAACAAGGGATTACAAAATAACAAATATGCATTTTTACTTCACTTTTACATATTTTCCTGAAGAGGTCACTACATATTTCGGTGGCTCGTGACAGTGGTAACTGTCTCCAACTATAAGTTTTCCGTTGTCCAACAACTTGATCCGCGCCTTACAACCAATTGATTTCTTCGAACAGTAGTAATTGCGACTTTTGTTATCTTTGGAGTAAGTGTAACTATTTAGCATTATGAGATGATTCCCCTTCGGAGTTGGTATGAATTCGTATGGCAAATCTGAAAAAAGAAGTAATATGTGTCAAAAAGAAATGTCAGTTTTACACTATAAAATAAAAACAGAAGAATAAATAATACGATTTTAATGTTTTGAACGAAGTATAATAAAATAAAACAAATAAATAAAAAGAAAAATAAATTTTATTATTAGACAAAGGAATCCATAGCATATTAATATATACTATCTACCTCCATGTGATAGACAATCTTTAATAAATACATTTTGTTTTATACCACTGAGGTGGCAAACAAGCATACGGCCCACGTGATGGTAAGCGGTTACCGTAGCCTATACACGCCTGCAATACTAGGGGTATTACGCGCGCGTTGCCGACCTTGAAGAAATCTCTTCATCCCCCCCTTCTTCCTTATTCTTCTCTCTTGGGAAAATCTCGACAAGGTGCTCATGTACATATACAAACAAAATCAAAACATAATTTCACTTCAGTTTTACGTATATTCCTGATGAGGTCACTACATATTCCGGTGGATCATGATCGTGATTATTATTACCAACTATGACTTTCCCATTTCCTAGCAACTTGATCCGCGCCTTGCATCCAATACTTCTCTTCGAACAGTAGTAATTGCTGCGACTTCTGTTGTCTTTGGAGTAAGTGAATTTGTTAAACATTACTAGGTGATTGCCCTTTCGAGTTGGTATGAAGTGGCATTCTGATTGAGAAAAAAAATTATACATAAGAAATATCAAATTTACACTATGGAATAAACGTGGATTAATTCAACGTAATATACATCTGAACTGAACTAACATTAAGTTTTGCTACCTTAGATGTTACTTTAATATATACAAACGAGACAATAAAACTTATTCATATCTACAACTATTCGTGCTGTAAACAATCAATATTACATCACCAAACAAGTATATAGTATCAGGTAGGAATGGTTAATATATAGCAATATCCATATATTTCAGTTACAATATCTATATACTGGTATAATAACGAATATATTAAAAGTCTGTTACCTAAAAAATAATATTGGATACCAAACTTTTAACATATTCGAAAATAGATATGCGACCGATATGGACGATATCGAAATGGGTAACCTTTTTCCAGAGGAACTCAATATATGGATATCGGATCGGTATCCATATCACCCGCAACAGCAAACAGCACGCTGGTCGCGCAATGCTGCTCGAGACATATCCATGAACTGCACTCATAAATAAGGGCTCCTATTGAGTTTGAAACTAGTCGGGCAACCCCGAATTTAACACGTGAGTAAAGCTGATATAAATAATTACAATACAGTTGACTTACGACAGTTATTATTCAACAAGACTATACTGGATTACCTAATTGTCTAATTTCCAAATTCATATGTAATGCGTCATCATGGATAATGCGAGCTGTAGCATTAATATTTAATTCTCGCGTGTCAGCTGCATATTGACATTTGAGGATACGTTTTAAATGATATGATTTTTTTAGTATTAACTAATGCAGGCACAACACGAGTCTGTACATTAAACAAGACCATGTGAAGGTTTTTGTCTGCTATAGTAGTTTGCAGCATTACAGTAACGCAATTTAGTTAATTTATATTTATATCGGTGCGATGATGTAAAGTTCCTAACTTACTTTTATATGATTTTTGTTATAAAACAAACATACAACCAGGTTATATTGTTAAAAGTTTAGTAAGCACACATTATATTTTAATTTTAATAACTATCGGTTTAACTTAAGTGTAATTAGATCGACAAAGCTCAACTAATTTCGGAATGAATTCGCAAAATTGATGCACGCACGAGCAGGCAAGCAAATAGGCTCGTAATCACGTCACAGTCACTTATGAATAAGGATCACGATTTGATTCCGAAACTAGTCTAGCTTTTTCGATCTAACTAAACGTAAGTTGAACCGGTAGTTGTTTAAATAAAATACAACCAGGTTGTTTGAATATTAGAGTTACGTAAAATATATATGAAATATATCAGACAATATAACATTTACCCATAATTACCGATATAAAAAAAAAACACATAGTAAAATCAAGCATGCAATTTACTTTATTTCACAAGCATTTATGAATTTCATTATGATTTTCATAATAGGAAATCTACTCTATGGGCAGACAGTATTACATCTGCACCTAAGACGATTTGTATATTATAATGTAAATACATGATATTTGAACAAGAACATCTTAAACAAATTCAGGTAATTAACAGCCTGGATACTACTACGCTACTATAAGCAAGAGCTTGGCGGCAAGACGCGCGAAAAAAATGATAAATGTCCCATAATTACACATTTCGTCTGACCATATCAAAGACCGAAATATAAATTGGTCTAACTCAGAGTCGAACCCCAGATACTATTTACAGGAAGGAATGTACCTACTACCGTTTATTTATGTATCCAAGGCGTCGTGAGTTAAGGAGAGAGTATTTGTTAGTGATGGGGGTCTCAAAACGCCATTGCTAGCAATATACCATATCATGTCATCCTTCACGTGGTTCCCACTTGTTATTTCTTAATTCTTGTTAAATTCATCACGATGAACCAACTGGGCTAATTTCGTCCTCACCTATCATCACTCTTTGGTATACCATTCCGTATTCGCCCATTAAAAAAAAGGGGCGCAAATAAGCGACTTCAATCCTGAATACATACAGACACCAATGAAGTACGAGATGTACCGTCGTAGACACGTTCGTTAATTTGAATTTAGAACAACAAATTACATGTCCACAATTAGATTTTACTTCGCAACAAACAAACCTTTTACCCACAAATAAAAACAGCTTTAATCGTTACAAAATTAACATGGGACTAACATGGGAGTAAACCTTATTGATTTAAAAAAAGAATTGTGAAAATCAGTTTAGTATTAATGACATACTTGCGCAACATAGACATAAAATCTAGACTAGCGGCAGTGTATACAGCCAATTAAAAAAAGGTACTGGCGACGCATACAATTTACACGAACCTCTTTTGGAAGTCGCTTCAAAAATAGACTCTCTAAACATAGATAAAATGAGATAGCAATGTCCGATGAGAGAGCTCATTGATATCATAATCATGATGCTTGCCGCTAAGCCCAAAGTGCAATCGTATCCAAACTGTACGACTAGTATGACACTATAATGCCGATCACGGTTCGTTCTCGGTCCAATCTCGAGTAAGTATCGAAATTGAACTGGAATGGAACTGAACTATCTAATAGTATGAATGCTCACAAAGTTTCTTATGTAAGATTTTACTAGATCGAGATCGAAGACTGACCGGCATTACAGCGTAAATCTGTCTTAAAAGTGCGAGTACACACAATTCGCCAAGAGATTAACTTTTAAAACTTCTAGTTAAAGCAAACACACAATGTAACACACATATGGGAATTACCAATAAGTAGATTACACCAAGCACTTAACGTGTAGTTGATTAGACTTGCTTTCTCAGAGATAAATCCTTATGTCTACATACATTTTATTAATCTCTACACAATAAATCTACTCTTATATGACAAATAAAGTAGTAATTAGAAAGAGTATTCCACGAATGTTAAGTTCCTAACAATTTGATTTTTAGGTACATAACAATATGAGAATGACAATGTGTTTGTTCGATGCAAGAGGTAACAAATATCTAACTTTTTGGCAACCCTATCTGTACTTTTCACGTAAACCTAAAAATTATATTTTTAAAAATTGTCCAGACGACGTGAGCACAAACTTAGGAGGATCGTGAACGTGGAAACAGAACCACTTCTTTATCCTTCCATCTGACGCTAGATTGAGTCGAGCTTTGCATCCTATATTTTTCCTTGAGCAGTAATAATTTAAACTCTTGCTGTGTTTGCTGTAGGTATACCCATTCAACATTATCAAGGGCTGTCCCTTTGGATTAGGAATGAATTGATAACCCACCGGTGCTGAAATTAAAATTTTATAATGAAATATCCTGTTAAAATAAAACTAAAATATATAACTATACTAAATATCTTTTAAAACTAATACTTTTAAAATATACCGCTATTTTAGGTTATAGAGTTACTAAAATAAAACGAAAGATAATTATAACAAGAAATATATTATACAAATATCAAATCTAAATCTCTTGCAAATTCTCAGGGAAAACCCCTTTTTACAGACTTTTCATGAACCTTTTTAATTTTATTATATTACCTGTAGGATTTTAGTAATAGATAAATTATATCTGCACTCCCTCAATTATTGATGTTGAAGAAAAAATAACTGGCAGTTATTTTTTCTTCATCTACTACAGAAAACGACAAATTAGATAATGATGCTGAGGAAAAACTGTATCGACTGCAAAAAAAAATCTCAAAAGCAGTTTAGAATCAGCGACATAACCGGGTTTATTTACACTTACGTAATAACAAAAAAAAACTGGGAAACGGAAAGCTCCTTATTGGAATTAACATAAAAAGACAAACAAAATATCATCGTTTATATTTATATGTACAAGATTTCAACAGAGAGACACCATGTCCTCGCGATAGGTGACATGGCGTAATATTATCGTATTTCCTGCTACGGTCCTCATCCGTTGACCCAACAGGAATTAAAATATTTCGCCTGTTTTTCAATAATCAAATTTAAATAGGGAGGCATAACACTTACTTATATCTCAATAAACACGTTAAGGGTACCTTGAACGACACTGTATATTCTATGGTGTCCATGAGACACGAACACTTGACGGACAGTGAGACCATATTCACTCTCCACCAAGTGGAGTGTCTTGATTGACACTACAAATTGTCAAGTTTAAGTTCATTTTCAAATTAATAATATTCCTAGCACTGTCCCCGTGATAACAGTATATTATTCAACGGTGGATATGACTTTCATTTGCGCTTATAATACTATGCTTGTCATTCAACTTGACACGAACCCAACAGTTACTACTTTTTTTTTGTTTGATATATAAAAGGCCGGCAGCACACCTGCAATGCCGTTGGTGTTGTGAGTGACCATGGGCGGCGGTAGTCACTTACCATCAGGTGAGCCGCATGCTCGTTTGCCCCCGTGTCACAAAAAAAAATCCATTTACGACTATGTGTACCCATTTAACATCAGTAAGTTCATTTTTTGTACGGTTGGAATGAATTTACACTCTGCATGAGTGAAATAGCATTAAAATGAAGACAAAAAATTTCAAAATCCTATAAACATTGCGTGGCGAATATATTCAACTATCTTTGACCTCATACATTATTCATCCAATGTATGCAATGGTGTTTACTGGGTTTTGGTAATCTGTAAACGTTCATGTATAGTACTTTTGATAACGACTAACACTTACCTTAAAAAAGCTTGGAAGTTATTGTTTTACAATAAACGTTTTGTAATTTTATGCCCAGTTTATTATACATTTAAATATGTGTAATTGGTGCAATACAGAGTTATTTTAATTTTTGCTGCTTATTGTATCGTTATTATTTTTTTTTTAAATCATATATACAAAAAACCGTCTTAATGGGTGAGGTATGGGCAACAGCGTCCCTAAAGCCTAACTGCAGTTGCGTACCCGACGGCCAAACGTGGAAACTACTGGTAAAACCCCCAATAGGGAGAGGCCTATATTCAGCAGTGGACAATTAATAGCTAATAAAACGTAATAAAAAATTAAAACGGTTAATTAGTAAGTGCATCGCTTGAGAACAGGTGAACAAAAATTAAGGCTTTTAAGAAAAAATATGAAATTTAGTCAGGATATCTTATAAGCAAAAAAAAAAAAGAATTTCATTTGTTTAACACATCGAGGATGACAATAAAATTCACAGTTTACCTAATTGTAAGCGGATAAGTTCATTAATTAAATACCTATATTCATTAGATATCATACAAAAATTTAATATTGGGTACCTTATTGAGACCCACCTCCTTCAAACGATTTAGAGTAAAGGGGTAAGGAATTAAAAAAAAATCAAATTAATATCCATTTATTTGTATTTATAGACATATTTTTGAAACGTATAGAAACAGCTTTATGATTATTACATTAACAAACGTGAATTATACTATATTGTAATTGTTTATGTCGGCTTTACTTACGTTTTAAATTCAGAGATCAGACTTGATCCGAATTCAATAGGAGCTCTTAATCATGAGCGCATTCCACGGCTGTGTCGCGAGCAGCTGTTGTTGCTCACGACATAGCCGTGGAACATAAAGACTTACAATACATAATTGTTATCAAAAATATAAATAAATAAATAACAATATTCACATTAAAAATTGTACACCTGCATTTTTATGCAATAGGTAAACAAAGATGGCACTCGACGGCACGACAATTTTCGTGTCAATGAGATCGAAACGGGCAAATTTTAAAATACTTTATACGATCTATGAAACATCCCTCAAAATAAACACCCATCATAAAATTTTATTAAAACCCCAAACGTCATGAAATCCGGCAATGTTAAAAAATTTGAAAATAATGTACAGGTGGCGTTGACGTTATTTATTTTAGGGAGTATTTGTAAATAAAAAGTAAAAATCAATTCCAAAGAAACTAGTCGAAACAGGAACAGTAGTCAACGAGAGTCAAAGGAGTATGGGAAACAGAAATTTTTGCAACTGTCCGTCTTTTCGAGAATAACTATTAGTTTCACTGATAGAGAATTCCCTTAAAAGCATGCAAATGACTTCATATCAATTTGATCTTGTATAATGTATGGGAATAAAATGGGCTTGTTTGATCATTATTAGTGTGAATATGATGCGTGAAGGCAACAAACCATTTACTGCATTTATCAAAAAGTACCACCAGTATTACCGGCTGATATTATAGCTTTCTATGAGCTTTATATAGCTTTCTTTCTATAATTTTTAACATCCGTTGAGTAGCTTTTAAGTTCGATTATTACTAACAAACAATCATATCTTTCATCTTTATAATATCGACAAAACAAATTTTGAAAGGGACACCTTAAGTCACATTTTTGCACATAAACAGAAATAGCTAATGTATGTACAGATCTTTCCAGTGAAAAAAATCAAAAATCTTAGTTAGAACATTTACATTGACGTACAATACATTAGATTCCCAATCATACGCAAAATATTTCCGACGAGTTGTGGGCAAGGTTTGCGTACAAATTGTCCTTGTACTCAGTTTAAGGTTTGAAGGAAGTATATACAAATATAACACTTAAATATAATGCAATGGCAATGTAAGTACTAACCGCTGTTTTAATATTTTATGTACATTTTTTTTCATAATCCGCATATTTAGTTCCTTAAAGTTAGATTCACACTATCACGCTGTCACGCCATCTCAATCCAATCCTTGAATTAGTTACACGGACAAGAGGAAACTCTTAAATGAAAAGAAGAAGCAAAAATGCGTTCATAATATATATACAGTCCAATTCGGTTCTCAGCACGATGCCTCTCGAAATGTTTCTACTTACCAAATCGATTGAGATTGGACCTAGAACGAACTGTGACTAGAATTACAGTGTGTATCTAGCCTAAAACTATATCAATGCAGATCATCCAATATACAAAGAATATTTAAAATTTACACTTTAGTCAGACTCCCATCAGCTGACAGCACATATCTCTCGCGGTCGTGCACATGGTAGTGCACCAACCTATCAATGTATTTCTCGTCAGTGGTCAACTTAACCTTCGCCTTGCACCCGCACGTGACCCTCCTTGAGCAATACCAGTTAAGTCTATTTGATTTACTGTACGTAAACCCGTTGTATAGTAGAATCAGTCCGTTACGGTAGTGAACGAATGTTGGTTTCACTGGAAAAATAGTTTCTATTAAGTATGTGTGGTTTATGCCAAATTTAAAGACAATTGGTTGAGCAAAAGATGTGTAGGACGTTTAAATACTATAAGTACATAAACCTCCTACACAAATCATCTATATAAAATTAGGATTTAAGGGGTAGGGCGATATATTTTTAGATACCAGCCGATTTCTCATAAAGTACTAAGAGAGCAGAACCATGGAAGAGGTGATAACATCACTAGTTTATAATATTATTAAAAATAGGATATTTATGCTTATGGAAGTTTCAAATTTAGAAGTCGCAAGAAAGCGGTAGTTTCAACATTTAAATTTGAAACCACAAAAAATAAAAAAATAATTACATAATACACACCTTTAGTAGCTGGAATGTACACTACAGGCTCTGAAAATAAAATTTATTTATTAATCTTAATCTAAAGTTTCACTATTATATTCACTACATTACAGTATGTTTACATAATATAATTTGTAAGCACTTCTAAAGTATATTTAATATAAAATTCAGTGTATCAACTTGTGACAGATTATACATATTATCATAAAAATTAAATAAATACTTTATTTTCTTACAAGTAATTTAAAAGAGGTACAGTATTAATACTTAGCTATAGTATTTATTCACAACAATAGGCATTTGTGTAACCCTTTCTCTATAGAAATTGCTATTCTAAACTATTCATTCTATTCAGAGCTGATATAGGTAACTATATTAGCTCTGCCCGCGATTACGTCAACATTATAATTATATCTGTAGGTTTTAGACTTAAATGGAAGTCTTAAAACCTAGATGGAAGTCAACAATAAAACAAATTGACTTGAATACAAACATGGTACGTAACATTTAAAGCAAAAATAATAAATCTGTCGGGATTCGGCAATTATAGCATTAATATCTTTCGTACAGACAGACAATCGTTTAAATTGGGATAATTATTATAAATCAAACATACAAACATAAAAATACAAAATAACACATAGACAACCAATATAATTTTATTTACACGAGAATAAGGATTTAAATAATATTTATACTACTTAACAAACAAATAGGTTGCATTTTTATTTCATAACATTAACATTCGGGTATGGGGAATCCCATACGAATACAGGCGCATTTAAGAGGAGGGGGATCTGCTCCATAGCTTTCCGTTATGGGCAAAGACACGTGTAAGGGTGAATATGCGCTTTTTCAAAGCCAGCTTTCTCCCCCCTTATATTCTTAAATATGCCAATAATGAGTAAGATACCATACTTCTAGATGATTTGATCAGACCTTTATTTCAAGTTACCCTTCTTTGGACAAATGATTAAAGAATGCGTGTGCAGAATCGTTTTCATTACAGCACTCATGGTTATTATAGTTTGCCTCATGTACGCAGTAGCGAAAACGTATATACAGATAAAGCTATTACCGTTTGTTTAACAAGGTTAGTCTTTTGAGCTTTATCCACTAGCCGCCTTTTAAAACACTGACGAAAGGGAATGTCTCCCTTTTCTTTCACATTTTCTTTTTACTCTGTCATCACACACGGAAATGAGCTTATTTTTTTATTATATATAGGTATAATTATTCAGTAGGCATATTTCGATTTGCCATGATTATGATTAGTGAACGCACACAATATTGTACTGTTGAAGTGATCCATTTTTATATACGCCCTGCATTTCTGGTGTCTCTTTGAGCAATACCAGTAAATTGCAGTTTTATTTCTTGCATCCTGCCAGTAAGTGTATCCGTTTAGTAGCAATAAATAACCTTTTCTAGATGGTATATAACGTATGGGACCTGAAATTAAGCATCATATAAGATTCACAATTAATATTTAAGATTTTACATTAAAAATAAAACATACGAGAAATAAATTATACAGAATTTATTTTATATATATTTATAGTATTTTATTAAGTAGAAGAAAGACATCTTTGCGCGTTCACTCACGCGAATCCCGTTATTTCCCGTTCCGGTGGGAATACCCAACCCCTTTTTTAATAGATACATTGCATTAGGAACAGGAATCTCCTCTAAGTTTATAGGTTTTACGGTTCGTTTTAGTCAGGGAGTGGTGGGTATTTCACTTCTGTAACTCAGGCAAAGTGGGCGATGAACAATATAATGTTGAAAAACTATGATCTAAAACGATCCTATATAACACAGTGATCAAAGACATCGAATTAAATTTTGTGGTACTTTTTTTTTAATGGGTGAAAATAGAATGGTAACTCCGCCTGTGCTATCGATATACACTGGCGGGGTACTAATGAAGGGACAGGTGAGGATGAAGACAGGTCAGTTGGCCCATAGTAAGCAATTGAACAAAAATTAACCACTATGATTTCCAGGGAGAACTGCATTAAGGTCAACCTGATAAGATGTATTGTTAGCAATCTGGCTATTAAATCTCATCACTAATAAGCCCTTTCCTCCCGATTTTGTGGTACTAGATAGTCCTGTAACTAGTGCCGTGGTATTCAAAATAAATGGCAAATAGGCATAGTCCATGATTATATTCATGACTATAGGCAGCTATTACCACTTCATGCCAGGTAAGTCATCAGCTTAACTGACATAATAAGTATCATAAAAAAATCACATACATACATACAATATGAAAATAGGAAGGGCAATCACCTTAAAATGATAGTAAATGCGGTAATGAGAACAAACCCTCTAGACTAGTGGCAAGCGAATTAATTTCAGCAATGTCATTCTAACCCATGGAGTCGCATTCGATAAGGATTTCATCAATAGATTTGCTTGCCACTTACCTGGTTCATCACCTCGCATTCACGCTATATAATCATACATGTTTCTTTTAATATCTAAAAAGTGGCAAATAAGTATTCAGCCCGATTCAGTCTGATAGTAAACAGTTACTGTAGCCTATGGACACCTGCAACACTAGAGGTGCTGTGTGCATTTTGCCAACCCTGAAGAAACTTTAATATACGCTTTTTAAAAAACCCATACTATAGTCTCTAGGGAAAACCTTGGTAGGGACCTTAGTCTACAGACTGAGTGTTTGCAGGAAAAAATTTCTTAGAAACCACCATTTGCCATGAGTTCTCCATACTAAATATGATATGACACCTAATATCAGGATGATTAGTCAAGCTATTAAATTGCTAAAATGTAACAGATAAATTTAATATTACTGTCACATTGAGTTCATAAGTCTATTAATAATATTTAACTACTAGCTTTTACCTGTGACTTCATATTTGTGATCGGGATATGTTTACTGATTAAGATTAAAAATAGCTTATATCCTTTACCATCCTGCGTAATATGTATATACCAAATTTCATAATGACTGGTTAAGCCATTAAACTCTATAACAAACAAACTCACTTTCATATTTACTATTTTAGTAAGAATTATTATCATACATAACATATCAAGCTTATAATAGTATTTTATAACTTTATTACAACTATGTTATCTTAAATATATTCTAACATAAAAAAAAAATAAAACAATAGATCCTTGTACAAATCTTTTATTTAGATTATAGTTTTTTAATAAATATATATGAAAATAAGTGGAAATTAAACTAGTGTACTATGGGGAATACAAAAAATTTTTTATTTAAAGGTTATCCGACTTCTGATATACTTATAAAAATTATTTTTGTTTTTGTTTTCCTCAATAGTTAATTAACAACATTCTTAAATAAATATATAGATAATAAATAATAACTGCATTTATTACATTTATAAAAAGTATATAATTAATATAAAATATAATAAAATAAAAGTTTTAAAGTCAATAGATTGTTATGTCAACAAAAACCATTTATATTGAACATAATTTTCAATGCATGGTTTTAAAACTATATACACACAAATATATCTTAATCATAACATATAATCATTTACATATATTAAAGCACTTGAATATAATATAAAGTATACAAAAATCCAAAACACAATACAAATGTTGAGTAAAATTGCAGTATGTTCATCAATGTACTTACCTGTGATCTGCAACCAGGAACCCAAATTACACTTCACTATCTCACATTATAGGATAAAATCACTACACTAAACATATTTGTTGAGAAAATAACACATATTCCACTAGTAAACAAGTAAGAACACTACACACAACATTTGTAGGTTATAGAGTTGTCACAACAAAGCTGTATGGGTGTTATCTATTAAGTTTTACCAAGTAAAGCACTTTTATGTCCATTATATACTTTAACCATTACCATATTAATTAAGTTACCCACCTAAATTATTACAAAATAAGAAAATAGTAAACAAATTTATTTGACATAACCAAAGTGTTTACAACTAAACTTATGGCGCGTTCCGTTTTTGTAAAGTGTCAAAATGAACAAAGTTTTAATTATAATAATAACTAACTTCATAAACACAACGTAATAAGAGAACTATTAAAGAACTTTTACTAAAACAACAGTAAACGCCGACAAATCTCGCACATTACCTTAAAATAAATTATGTAATACTTACTAGAAATGTATATGTAAAATATAATATATCAACCAAATCATAAAATGAATATACCAAAGTGAGAAAGTAGGTTACTGGCTTATCATGACGAATTCATTAGGAATAAAACAAAAATTTCCAGGGAAACCATATGGAGAGACAAATAGGATATATTGCTAACAATGAGTAACACCGGCCATGATCACATATATACTAATTGATTACGTTAATTCCGTCTCAAAAACCATAAATCATTAATAGAAGTTATTATAGTAGTTAAAGGCAAAAAATCTTATCTTTAAATGCATTAAGTTCTTTAAAACATCAATTTTAAAAGAAGTTTAAAAACCATAGTCACTAAATAGTGCAAGGCTATACCTATAACGTAGAGATTATTTGCTCTGTGATTATACTATAAGAATAATTTCTACTCAGTTCTTCATTAAATTTAAAGCGATATTATATTCTTGATCAATTACTATTATCTAAGGAACTTTAGCAGTGGCGTAACTAGGTAACCAAAGGCTCTAGGGCAAAAATAAACTAAGGTCCCAACTTAAAAAACTATTTACTTAAAATCGTTGATTACGTATTGGTCATGTTCCGAATTCGACGTAATCCAGATTTATTGTAATTCAGATTCGTCGCCAAGCGAGTGCTGTTGAAACAGTGCATTCCAGAACGTGACTGTGAAAACAGCTTGAGAATATGGGGGAACTCTTTGCAAGTTTCATACAATAATATTCGAGACCTGTTGGGAATTCCCCTGTATTTTTTCAAATATGTTGTCCTTATTAAAGTCGCATTCCTGGAAACTGGAATGCGACTTTAATAAGTCGCATTCCAGTTTCCAGGTTCCAGTTTATGTTCCAAATGTGAAAGATTTTCACTAGTTCAATTTATAGTTTGTAAGCTAGAGTCCGAGAGACCCCTAAATTAGGGGCCCCTGGGGCATTACCCAGTCTAACCCTTCGGTAGCTACGCCACTGAACTTAGGTAGTTACATTATATATAGAATGAATAGTTCATGCAGTGACATTACTACCATTTTCCAGGTATACCTGTGATATTACTATGATAGTAAGGGAAACATCTAGATTCTAACTTAGGTCTTATGATTGATCTTGGATGGGCCATCTTCACCTATTTTCTATCACTGGTGCCTCGCCAGCGTTTATTGATAGCTTAGGCAGAGTTATCATTCTATTTTCATCTATTAAAAAAACCTACAGTCTAATCAGGGTTATTATTCCACTGCTACATATAAAAAAAAATTAAACTCTAAGATTGATTCTCACCATCGTCACATTCTATTTTAAGAGTATTCATATTATAGTTTTATAGTTATTAATTATATTTATAATATCCCAGAACATTTGGTTCGCCATTTCTATTGCCAATTACCAATATTTTATTGTACTTAAATGAAAATCCTATATGTTCTTTTTAGGTTCAATTTGTATAATACTCTCCTAATTATAATTGCTTTATAATTTTAATACTTATTAAGAATGGATTTAGATTTTTTTTTTATCACGTTTCATTATTCCGAATCTGCGACATTAAACATTAAAAACTAAATATATATTTTTAAAAACACTCACTTATTATTTGTGATGTTATTTTGTTTTAAAATATTGTTGGGTATTAATACTGAATGATATATGAACTGTATACCATACGATTTTTTTGGGATCGTACATGGTCAGTATTATATTATAACCATACTTATTTCACGCCGCGTGACACTGACAGTCTGACAGCGTTACTGTAATCACTAATTTCGAGTGACGCTGTGGTTGACCTAACCTAAAAAATTTTGTTTATTTTTCTTCTTTTCTTTTAATTTTTCAATATTTGCTTGAATTATGGAAGAAATCCTATTAAACTTATATCGAGCTTGTCTTTGGAGTGAGAATGTGTTTAAATACGCGTCTAATATACATATCCTATCGTAACAGGCATTATTTGTATGTACTTGCTAAACAATTTTTGTGCAATTAAATATTTTGCTAATTGTTCTTTGGTAATTATAACAAAAGTCCTTGTTTATATTGGTGTCTCTCAGTGATGTGAAAATGCTTGAAGAAATGTTGTAGTGGTATTTAAAGTGTAGTGACAGAATATTGCTTCAGAAAACTGTTTAAACCAATCAGGAAGAATAAAGGTATATTTTCAATAATTTCAATTTCTTACCAACTTTATAAGTTACATTACTTGTTTCATAACTTTGTAAATTTAGAAACACGGCTTGCCACATGCCGATAATATTTTAGCATAATGTTTGTCAACAAACAAATGTTTCAACAATTTTATACTTGTTCATAATTTTCAGTATTTGTCACTGCATAATTATATTTTTGTTTTTCTAAAGGTTGACTGGGAGAGAATACTATATAGTATTAAGTAAAATATAGTATAAAAAAAATACAACGAATAATACATCGAATGGCAAACAAGCTGATGGCCCACCTGATAGAAAGTGGTATCCGTCGCCTATAGACATTAGTAGTACAAAGGACATAACAGAGTATACTGTTTTACCCATGATACCCTATGTGTTGCGATTCCTGAGGATTCAGGTGTTATTCCTCTGTACCCTATAAATTTACACCATATCCCACCCTTCAAACCGAAACAGCCATGCAAACACAACTGTTTAATGGTTGAAACACGAATGGGACAGAAGTACCCAAGCAAACGACTTTTGTACAAAGTCTCCCTCTGGTGCATTTTTGCATTGCATTACCTTGTTCTTAATTTCTATGAGATTTTTAACATGAAATTATATATTCTTTTCTAAGTTATTTGCAATATAAAATATAATAACTTGTTGCATAATTTTGTTTCTTCCTTATATGGAATAGAATTGCAGTAATAAAAATATTTGTTCAATTAATTTCATATTTTTTTAAAGGGGTAAAAATAGAATAATAACCCTGCCTGCACTATTTGTAGCAAAGTAAAACAAATTTGATAGCCCATTGCGATAAATTCATTAAGAAAGAACCACTATGGTTTTTTCTTAATGAATAGTTACTCGCCTTGTGCTAATGGTATATGCTGGTAAGGCACAAGTTTGATATGCTATTATATGCACGAGTCTGACTCGCAATTGACCAGTTTCTTTTATTTATTTTTGTTGGGACATCAGTACATATGAGTGATTATGCCAGCCTTGTAGGGGAAATCTGCATGTATGATTTATCCATAGTACATTGGAGGTACCTAAAAGAAACCTATGCAAAATTATTTTTATTGTCATTATAATTATATATAAATTAACTTAGATAAATTAACAAAAAAGTTATTAAGCAAATTACCCATTATTTTCATACATAACAATGTGTATTAATAACATTCAATTCATTTTTACAGGTAAGTCGCATGTCCAGAGAGTAGCAGTAATGGTAAGTTTTTTTTAATTTTGTTTTTTGTATTTATAACAAATTTTATTTTTTGTTTAAAAGTATCTGTAAGTATTTTATAAAAGTTTCTTTTTTCTCAAACTTTCTTAGTTCTATATAATTTGTTTGCATATTATCTATTTTATTTTTTACATATAATTTTCAGTCTATCCTATCAAGGTACAATTATAGAATATATAGCATACCTATCTTCATGTAGGTAGGTTTTTAATAATATTTTCTAAAGACATGAAGTATTTTTTTTTTTATTTTAATAAATATGGAACTTAGTCTATTACAATTTCAGATGATTGTGTTTAATAAAGTTTTGATGTAATAAGGTGTCTTATTTATTTTAAGTTCTCAATAAATGTCCTGGTAATAAAATTAACTTTGAGCTAAAGAATTTGTGGTAAGTACCTAGTATAATTTAAACGGTAACTCTAAAACTTCACTGTAACATCATTCTCATGATGATCATGAAGTACTAGAGTACAATTTTATGCAGTTTTGAGATAGTTCAATTTTTCTTAATATAAAATTTTTTTAATATAATTGAAATATCGTGAAACTGTTTTTTTTTTTTGTTTCTATTGATAAATTAAATGAAACAGTATTTTCTTTTTATTTTTCCCAACCTGATTTCTGTTTCCTTTTTATAACACACATTTTTATGTATGTACTTTAAAAATTATACATTAAATAGATTTTATTGTTTTCTTTTCTTTTTCTTCCAGCTCGCTATGTCCTAACAGCACGTGGTGCAAAAGTGTTACTATTCAATGGATTTTTATTTCGCCAACAATGCCCCGCGACAAAAGAAGGCAATAAGACTTGGTACTGTGTTATGTATGCCAGGATCCAGTGTCAATCTGTTCTCACCACAGACTTCTTGGATCACATTACACAAATACGCGGTATACACAATCACATAGCACCTCTTATAACTAACACTAGAAACGGCATTGTGTACGAGCATTCAAAAAGAAAAATGAAGAAAATTTTAAAACTACATAGCATGAATAATATGGAAATATTACCATAATTATAATCACTTATGTACCTGTTTTGTAATTATAAATATTAGTTAATTTTAACAATTATTAAAAAGCCAACTAAATTGAATTGACGTTGGTTATCTGATCTCATATTTTATCAGGGTCGGACCTTTATTATGAAATTACTTGAAATTCATTCAGTGTTCCTACATAATTTATTCCAATTGTAAAATTGTATTTTATTTTATATTTTCTGTCAGCTACGGCTTTTTAGTGTGTAATATCTATATATTATAGTTACAATATCTGTTTATTGGATCAATAACGAATATGTTAAAAGTCTGTAATTCAAAAAAAATAATAGTGCATAACAGACTTTTAACATATTCGAAAATAGATATCTGATCGATATGGGCGATATCGAATTGAGTGATGACCTTT